CGGGTCTCGGCCGCGGCTGTCGGCGGCAGCCTCTGGTCCGGCACTCGCAGGGTTGAGCTCTGGCCAGGGGACTGCGGGATGGGCCACGGGGCCGTGGGAAACCAGCTCGGGGATCTTTGCTGCCAGGAGCAGCGTGCAGCAGCTGCGCGTGGTTTCCATTCTCACCGACTTCGGTGTTGGGGAGCTTTGGAAGGCGAGGGATTAACGGAGAGCTGAAGGCTGCAGTTGCTTGTCTTTATTCCCGTTTTGAGAGACCGTGTTTGCCAATTCATTTGAGGTGTTTACACCCCTGAAGTTCTCTTATGAATCTTTCCTGTGTCCGACTGTAACTGTTTCAAGACAGACAAGATAATGTACCAAGGTCCGTGTCTTTGTAACTATGCAGGGTGGTTAGAAGTATTAATCTGTTTTCTTGGAAGTTTTTTTGCTTTTTCCTTTCCTTGCAGGCTTTTCAGATGTCTTTTCAGAAGAACTGCATCTGGAGCACTATGACAGCAAACAATATATTTGGGAAATATGTAAGCAGTTTAACAATGACTCATGGGGACAGTCTTTGGGATAAGACTTATTAGCAATATTCAGGTGGCAACTCTTGACCTATTTATCTCACAACTCTAGGAGATGATCAGAATGCCAAAATATCCTTCAATTCCTGTGCACCAAAGAGAATGCCAAAATTGCAGCTGGTCTATATGATCTACCCTAACATCACCTTTTTGCCTGAGATCTCTGACTCACACTGTCCAATCTGATATTGCTCTTTATGTAAAGACATAAAAAACTGATATAAGGGTAATAGAGTATTTAAAGGAAACTTGTATTATTAACAAAAATGCAATATTTTCACCTTGAAGTAGAAGGAAAGCAAAATTCTTCTGATGGATTAGTGAAGCTTCTTTTCTAATTCAAAATACCTTTGTTTGGGTTCAGTTGATAGACCAATTTTCTTCTATTTTTTTTTTCAAAATCTTCTCCAATAAAAAAATATGCACTTTTTTCTCTCTCTCTCTTTTCAGATACATGCTATTGAACTGTTAGCAGAACAGTGGGAAAATAGGTTGATTCAGTGGAAAGCTTCAATAGCAGTAGCAAAAGCAGCTTTGGTAAGTGTTCACAAATGGCAACATGTCTGTGTGCCTGATGTAATTTTGTGCCACCTGGGCATCTTCTCTGACTCTGGAAATGAGTGAATTGCAGGTGGTATAATAAACCCCTTCAGTTAACTGGGAAAAAATGTATAGCTATGGTTCCATGTTAGCGAGGCAGCAGCTGATCCCAGCTTTGGAACACTCATTGCAAGCCACATGAGAGCAACCGGAGCTTAAGTTTGGGATCTGGTCGTGTGCATGACCAGGAAAAGGCCAATCCCCACTGCACCTTTTTTCCCATGTGCTGCTGCTGCTGTTGACTCTTCCAAGACAGAATCAGCAGGCTGGAGCAGAATTGCTCTCCAGGAAACCTTAGGATAAATGGAGCATTTGGCCAATGCCAGAAATGAGAGACAGGCAGGAGAGAAGCCCTTTGGGTAACAGTGGAAGATAGAAATGAGTCATTGGTCCTGGGGAGGTGACAAACACTTGTGAAGGAGAGATGGCTTTTCAGAAGCAAAGAGTTCAAGCCCCTATGAAATAAATAATCAGGGAGACAGAGGAAGTGTCTCTATTTGAGTGCAGTGTGCATGAAGTGCAGTAAAGGTTGAGTGATACGATGCCAGCCCTTGGTCTGCTCAGTGCTGAAGGTGGGCAAGCAGGATTTGGGCTTTACCACAGGAGATGGGATGTGCCAGGGAGACAGAAGAGAGTGACTCAGAGCTGTGCCTTAAATGCAGCTACAGAGCACAAACTGGAATGGTAAGAGGTGAGAAAGAGAGCTCCCAGAGATGATCAGGTCAGTGACTGACAGGCAAAAATGGATCCACTGGGACAGATTTGTGTTTCTGGAGGCTTTTACAGAGAAGAGCATGTGTGGCCTTAAAGCACTGCAAGAACAGGCAGTTGTGAGGAGTGATCACTGTCCAGCACGGTCTGAGACTGATTCAGTAGGACTGGGCAGCTCTATTTTCCTTTCAAATAGTTACTGAGAGAGAGTTCCTTGTTTTGGAATCTAGTTTTCTTGTATGTCTCTGGAATTTTTTCAGCTCTCTGCTTTCAAGGCCATGGGCACTCAACCTGTACCTGCCTTTGGAATGGGAGGACAGCAAACCTCAAGCTTTGGGCTGTCAAGTAAGTTCCTGTTCTAAGACCCAAAACATTTGAACCTTTTCTGTAGTTTGCTGCTGCTGCTGCTGCATCTTTGAAAAACAGCAGTGGTTTAGTGTCCCTGGGGTAAGCCATTCTGATACATTTGGTAAATTCTCTACTTGCAGGCTTTCCTGTGAGCAGCAGCAGCAGCAGTACGCAGTGCCAGCAGTTTCTCCTTTAAAACCAGTTCCAACCTCACGAATTCCACATCATCTGGGAGCAGCCCTGCTGCTGGGAGCTCTCCTGCTGCTGCAAATCCTCCTGCATTTGGGACAGCATCCTCTCCTAGCGCACCCCAATCCGTCGGCTTTGGCAGCCCGGCCGCTCCATCCGCAGCCTCCTTCTCCTTTAAAACAGCTGCCACAGCTGCTGGCTTTGGGACTTCTGGCTTTTCAGGCTTTGGCAGCGCTTCTGCTGTGAACTCTGCAAGCACCACTCCGCTCCCAGCCTTTGGAGCCTTCAGTGCCACCGTAGCCACTTCTGCCTCGCCTTTGAGCGGTGCTTTATTTGGACAGAGCGCCAGTGCCTCTGGACATGCTGTCACCTCAGCCTCTGCTGCAGCCAGCAGCTCCAGCCCTGCCTCCGAGAAGTTATTCACACCCAAGAGCGAGTTATCAGCTGAAGAGTGGCAACAGTTTGAAGCAAAGGAGTTCACAATTGGAAAGATTCCTCTTAAGCCACCACCATTAGAACTTTTAAATGCTTTCGACCTTTTAAGTTTATTCAGAAGTAACATGTTTTGAAATTAAACAAAATGCTACTGTTAACTTTCTACATTTTACATTTTTAAATTTTACATTTGAGAAATGACCTGTTGGAAATAAAATGGAACATTTCCTTCTATTTGTTGTCCTGTGAAATTTTGGGGAAACACTGTATATAAAAAAGTTGTGTCAAAAGAAACAGTACTTCAGTCAAGTATTCACAGCCTTCTGTGAATGGAACCGTAGAAAGACATATGCAGTGCAAGTGCCTGTTATTGGATAGCCTTGTCTTCTGCCTCTTCAAATGTTTGTGCAGCGTTTAAGGATTGTGTGTCGAAAGAAGGGGGTGGCTCCTGTGTGGTCTGTGCCACTCTACACCCTTCTGTCCTTGTCCTGCACAGTTCCCTGTGCCTGTTGACACAATTCAGCTGTTGTTAGTAGTTTTGCCTGGGGTCACCAAGCCTGTAGGAATGTCATATAATGTGGAGAGGATGACCCTGAAAGCATTCATCCTGGAGAAGGAGCTTGTGGGTTGTTACTTTGATGCCTCTTAGGTGAAACTATGCAAGCAATAGCAAACCTGTCTTTTTGTGAATGATGGCATTTTGTTGTCAGGTTCTCAAAACTTGATGGGTGCATATACTAATGTTACCTCTCCGGAAGTCATGATGTTAAGGGATCAATTTTGTTGCCAAGACACTCTAAAGCAGGAGTCAGGAGTCTTCCAGAGGATGTCCTAAACTCAGGGAAGGAGAGCATTTGCTATCAGGATTCAGGAGAGACAGGACGACTGGGAGACATTCTAAAGTGTGTTTTATTATTCTTTTATGGTCTCATGAAGGTGTGAATGTCTTCACCATGTTCACAAGACCACAGGTTACAAGATCTCTGAAAGGTTAATTAGCCAGTAAACTACTGCCACAAAAGAATGTTTCTACTTTCACACCAATAGTTAATTATTTTGTTTTATACATTCTTGCCGCAGTGTAGACACTTTTAACCAATCAGACAGGGACACAAAACTACTTGGTATACCGTAAACTTCTTATTACCTTTATAACTACTCCTATATCTTAACTTCAAAACCTTAAAACTTTCTACTACTTAGCTTAATGTCTTTCTATCTAAACTACAAACCCACATTTTTGCTCACAGTATCTAAATCTGGAAGCCTTTTCCAGTGTCTCAGGTTAAACCCTCTGTTCATGTCTGTGTTTAAACCTACATTCACAAGATTTTGAGAACTTTCTGTGCTTGGAATTCCCACATTTGCTGTTGACCAGGCCCTTCCCTTAATAGTCTATAATAACCAAACCTCATCTTTAAGAGGAAATCAAATGTTAACTTCAGGATACACATAACTAAATCAATGGTTTCTTTCACACTTGTAGATAACATTTCAGTTCTCAGTATGGACCTTGTGGTCCTCTGTAAAACTTCACCTGTGTCATGTATCTGACCACAGGTCCATCAGATATTGGCTTGCTAAAATAGTGGGAATGACTGGAACAATCTCTAGAATGGTGGGCTGGGGGGGAGAAGCTCTGCAGCTCTTCATGGAGAT